TCACTTAAGCCTTTTATACTATACTATTTTCTATTTTCGTCAAAGTACTGAGAAGAATGTGCTCGCTTAGATTTAGGCCCACATTTGTCCTCTGGCTATCACTTGAACTTCATAATAACGAATACTGTTGCCATTTTCTAAGAGTGAGCGCAACACTGTAGCTAGAAACTATTTGAACTCCACTCGCAAACAAATGACCCGTGAACTGATAAATGTGACTCTACTTATATGAATATGGCTCAGATTATATCTTTGTCCAGCATATAATTCTAGCATAGGCAGTCAGGACGCAACTGTATAGTTTGCAAGTCAGGTACGGTTATCACAATCAAAGTAATGCATCTCTTGCTTAATGAGGTCACCGCATCTTATGTAGCTAATAGTTCCACATTCAGCTCTGACCTCTGCGCCAGTGGCTGCAATAAATATTGTGTCAAAAACACGGCGTGTTCACAAATCTTGCCTATGTCCTGCTTATGAAACTTAGCAGATGCGAACGTTCATTTCGTGATGGAGCGCTTTGGTAAGCCGGACATAGAATGATAAAATCTCAATCTAATCTTTCCGGTGTGAATATGCAAATGATGCAAACTAATGCCTTGTTAACGTCACGATTCCATAGTTTAATAGTTAATCTAGGTTGAAGTATATAAATTATTACTAGATATCAACTTAGCAATTAACATAAAGACATATCAGTATCTAGTTAGCAAAGATGTTTTAGCCGACCTGCTCTTCTGCAGCAACAATAAACATGGCGAGGACAGGAATCACAGCACCATTCATGGTCATTGAAGTGCTGATGCTTTTGAGTGGAATTCCGTCGAATAGTCGCTTCATATCCTCGACAGAATCGATAGCTACGCCAGCCATACCAACATCGCCATGAACACGGGGGTTGTCCGAATCGTAGCCTGAGAAGATAAGACTTACATAGGGATATAACCGAATTTAACAATAATTAAGCATATACTAATAGGCTATAATTCTAGAAGCTATAAAAAATACACATATATTACAATAGCCGAACATAAGAAAGCATCAGAAACTGTGTAAACGATCGGA